ACTCGTGTAAAGAAAAGCATTATCCGTCACACATTGCAGTGTCGTATCATTTACACGTAATTCGCATTGATCTCCGCCGTACAGAGAAGCAGCTCTGCGCAAAATTCAGCCGTGCCTAAGAGGTTAAGTCACACGATCAATTGGCTGATAAAATTAAACACTTATTGGCATTAATAATAATAGAAGAGAAAGAATAACTCGTCGAGACATGATGCAGGGGAAAATGTTTTATCTACTTATATTTAAATGTCGTATCTATGTAACAGGAGTAAAATCCATCACTTAAAAAATTAAGATAGATATTAGGATCAACGGACGCGGTGGCGTCCCGAAGGTAAGTTTGAGTCTGAAGATGGCAGCTTATTATCGGGTACCGCGTCCCTTATATACACGTAAATTCGTGTTCGATTTTTTATTTTATTACTTTTTCGCTAAGGGAAATGTTGTTCAAAATCACGTTAAGAACCTCTCATTTCAATCTCTTACACTAGTTTTGGGACATCCTGTGTTATCATATACCTATACCTACTGCAATTCCAAACCTCCATACAAGAATCAAGCCATCTTTGTTCGAATCAATTTCTTTATTGAATGTTTTCGACGTGTGAATCTAGTCATTGAACGAATAATCAGCCGAGTAATTTACAATGGTAGAATGGTGCCTTATGTTATATTCAAAGTATTGTCAATCGCTGGCCACTACTTTTTCCCATTTTTCTGGCAGCATACTGCGTCGGAAGAACGCTTCATCTTTTGACGCTAACCATAATTCGACCCCATTTTTGGTATCTTCATATGACGTGAAGTGCGGCTGAGACAGGCCATGCGTCATCGATCGAAACAAGTACTAATCAGAAGGAGCAAGATCTGGTGAATATGGCGGGTGTGGTAAAACTTCCCAATTAAGTGCTTCCAAGTAGGTTTTGTCCAGCGCCGCAACATGAGGACGAGCATTATCATACAGAAGAATGATTTTACCGTGTCTGGAGTAATAATGGGCGCGTTTTTCCTTAAGTGCTCGGCTCAGTCTCATCATTTGAGTTCAGTAAAGAGCCCCAGTAATGATTTCATTCGTTTTCATTCAATAATGCTTCCAATTCCGCGTCTTCGTACACTTTCAGCCTTCCACTACGTTCTTTGTCTTCGACATCAAATTCACTGTTCTTAAACTTTTGAAACCACTCACGACGACTTCTCTCACTTAATGCAACCTTACCGTATGCTTCTACAAGCAATCGATGCGCCTCAGCTGCAGATTTCTTGAAATTGAAGAAGGAAATCAGAACTTCCCGCAAATGACGTTTATTCGGCTAAAAACTCGATATTTTCGCACGAAAAAAATTCACGACGCTGATACACTATCGATAATATTTCGATGTTATGTTCTTGACAAATGTGCAACCTTACAATATGACATCTTACAACTGAGACTAGCCGCCATAACTTACTGGTTGCGCTACTTGATTTCAAACGGCAGAGACTTATTTGTACACCAAATAATATTATTTTGTTTTATTCGAAATGTTTACATTTCCCATGAATGCTTAATATAATGACATTCTCATAATAACATTGTTTGCGCTAATCTATACATTTTTTTGCCACATCATCGTTCCACATTCTGTTGAACATATTACGTGAATTCACTCATTCCCCGGAATTAAGTCTTGACCTTTGTAATTAAAGTCTCGCCATGTCTTTAACGCCAGTTCACTATCTTGTGAACGCCAATTGCATGGCATTGTCGCAGCATGATATTACACTATCGGTAATAACTATTTACACACATAGTTTAGTTATACAAAACGTTCCTATCAGCACGAGAACAATTACGAAAGTTATAATGCAACATAAAAATGTTAAAAACAAAGTGGTCGTAAATTGAAACCATCGAAGGACTTCCAGTAATTGCGTCGATTGTTCGCCACGT